GTCACTTCAAAAATGGACATAGCAAACGAGTTTGGAAATACATGAACTGTTAGAAAAGGCCAAAGGAACATCACCATAAAAAAGGAAAATTAACAATAGGAAACGAAAAATCGTCTCTTTTGTCGTAAAATTTTGCTTTGACTTTCCCGTGTGAACTGAAATATTCAAATCTACAAAAGGAAAATCATTGCTGTTCATATTAGATTTATTTCAACGAAGTTCTCGTTTGTTAATTTCTGCAGTATGCTTAGAGAATTCTATCATAATAAGTGTTATAAAATTTATCAAGTAATTGGAATTCAGACGGATATACTGAGTTTGACTGAGACTTGATAACTTTTGGTTTTCCCTTTCAATATTGTACCACCTTCCAAGACCATAATACCAGATCATATGGTTATACCGTGTAATTCTATTTTCATCTATGGTGCTTTGGTGGAATTCAAATGTAGACCGGCTACTGTCACTAATCTTCCGAACAATTCGTTTGTATCATATGCAATGCTGTAAATAAACCACACAGACAAAGATCCAGCGAGACAATACAATCTATTACGGTTAACAATTAAACCTGAAAATGAATTTACATATGGCAAAAGTATTATTTCAAGCAAAGACAAGTGTACAGTTGTTACACAATTGGGGAGAGAACAATATTTACCAATGTGTATTCAAATATAACTTAACTGATACAAGTACATGTATCCTGCAGACACTTAATAACATTGTGCACGAATATTATAGTACCTATACCCTGCAGACAATTAATGACAATGTCCTAGGCTTAATTAACATGTATCCTGCAGATGTTAATTGCATTGTCCGATGCTTAACCTCATACATGTATTATCTGATAGCTAGACTACTCTATAAACTGTGGACATTTATGGATATTGTTGAAAGCTGATGGATGACCCCTCTGAATTATATAAGATCCAGCTTTGAACTCGAACAGCAGATTCCGACAGGAGATTCCGCCAAGGTCTTTCCCTTCGTGGGTAGGCTGGAATTAATAAGGACCGAACAGTTAAACCGCTATACGACCACGTGTTCATGTGAGAAATCGCTAACACCAGAATTCGTCAGATCACGGCCAATGTCACAGTGCAAAACAATTATTATCTTTCGAACTAGTTATCTTTAGAAACTCTGTAAATTACGTAATAAATTATAATTCTGTCTTAGATTTCTTTACACAGTGACCGTTGTCATGGACATGGAAGATACAATTCTAGATCTTTACCCAACAAGAAAATTAAAACAATTATTTACCAACAATATATATTCCACTTTTATCTAATAAATTGATAATTTCGAAAGATACTTTAAAAATATACTTTTACGTTTAGCACTGAGCCCAGCTGATACCTGATATAGAATAAATCCAGAAAAGCTCTTCGGACGCATAACATTTATAACGTGCTGTTTTCGTTTTTCCATAATTTCTGACTTCTGTCTAAATTATTGGGTTATTGGACCCACTAGTTTTAGAGGGTGAAAAGTGAAGAAGAACTATCATATAGTTCTGCTCACATATTCGGCTATTGTTTAAACTTGCCCATATCAATAGATGGATGGTGTACATCACGGTAGGTATAGTGTCAGGTTGGGATCGTGGTTTTTCGAGTGATTTGATCGGGTTTTTTTCGAGTGTGACCACTTTTTTTTCGAGTGAATATGATCAAAAATGTAAACAAACAGACTTCCTTTCTGGTAAAACGTGAAAACAGATGCTAGAACCTTATATACAAGATCATTAAGGGTAAATAAGTATTTTTGATATTTTGTTTTAAAAACGTTTAATATAGCCTTACAATGCTTTATTCCAAAATACAGATTAAAGCCATTTTTATACACATACCAATGCAAATGTCAACGGAAATGTGCACATGGAATCTATTACCCCGTTCACACTAGCCTTGTTAAACCGGGTTCGACCCGAATTAGTTAATCCGGGTTAAATTATATAGTGTGAACGCCTTAAACCGGGGCGGACCCAGTTTAAAATTACCCCTCATTTGAGGTGGAGTTAATGTGGGGCGAACCCGGGTTAACTACCTCACTTCTAAATGTGAACGCAAAGTGAAGGTAATGTGAGGTTGTTGCTATAGTGATATATATGACGTTTGCTTAAATAAATCTTCAATGTGACGTAACTATTACGTGACGTCATATTTTGACAGACGTCCAGTAACAATATTTTTAAAATGGGTCAAGAATTATATAACCCATATCAAATTAGCGGCAGCAAGCCCTGTGATATAAGTGTATTTACCTATGTTGAAAAACCTGCATAATGAAAAACGATGAATACAATATATATGATTGCCGTCGCTTTTTGGTGCGAAAAATGGGTGCAATTTGGATCAAGTGCCATTATTTTAAAACACTGAAAGTGGTTGATGGTGATCGAACTCCTCCAAAGCGGCCAGGAGTGCGGTAAAAAATTTCAGACTTTAAAATAATGCATCTGTGATGAAACAAAATGTAAATATGTACAGTTGACAGATGCGGGTTACAATTTTAGCGCTAACATTTCTATATTTGTTGAGAGGGAAAATCCCAAACCGGGTTAATTTTTTATCAAGTGTGAACTGGGGTAATTAATTCGACCCGATGCTAATTTTATAGTGTGAACACGGTATATGTTTACTTAGATATACAGACACTTTACAAAAATTCTTGTTTTTGCATTGAAAAGGACATTTTGGAGAGTAAATTCATTTTAAATGTCCGTGTTTTTCGAGAGCAGTCCGTGTTTTTTTCGAGTGTGTCCTTGTTTTATCGAGTGAAAAAAAAACCAAATTCCTATGGCTTAAAATGTAATATGTCAGTGCTTTTACGTTTAAAAAACAATGAAAAGGTTCAAATAAAGTACTTTTCAAAGCACGAAACAATGTATTTAACCAGTTTGATAATGCTGTATAAACACGTACATTTCACAAAAAGTCATTCTTCATTTGCGTTTAGAAATCTTCGTGTTAGTGTACCGATATGGATTTCATACAGTAAATATTTAGTGATGTAAACAATCTTTATTTGAGCCCAGACATGTTGGACTGAGACGTACGCACATGTTTTTTTTTACAAAAAATATATCCTTAATGTTTTATTTACTATTTGTCTTGATGGAAATATTAGCTATATTGGCTTAATCAGGAGTGCACAGAATTTTACACCGGTGTGTTGAAAATATATACACAGCCGAAGGTCGTATGCATTTTAAACACCAGTGTAAAATTCCGTACACCCCTGACTGCACCGAGATCACAAATTTATTTCTTATTTAGCGTTCGTTTCCTTTTTTATTCCCGGGAATAAAATAGAAAATTTTTTTTAGACCAACTTCCACTACACATTTTTCAACACCGACGTTGTTGTGCATTTTTAAAATATTATCTTTTTAATTTCTTTTTATTTTTTTGGAAAATTTGGAAATTTTATTATTAGGGGAAATTGGAAAATATATTTTCTTCTTTACTTTTTTTTTCTTTTTGGCAAAAAAATCAAAATTTTTTATGATTTTTATTTTTTCCAAAATTTTAATATTCATAATTTTGACAAATATTTTATTTTTTGGGGAAATTTTGGCATATTTTTTTTTCGACCGACCCTTGCCAAAGAGGGAGGTCCGTTTGGCTGTGTGGGATGTTCAAGTACGTTGTCACGTCCGTTCAGAATGGAGCGTGAAGAGAGAGTGCTACGCTCATTGCACTTTGAGAACCCTTGCAACAGCTCTTTGAAGGGTCCGGAGGTGGCCTGTTGCAAGGCAAAATTTCTGTCCATATCCAATATACTCTCATTTTCAGTAGCAATCTAGATTTCCTGACCTTTATCCCGAACGTCCTCTGTTACATGACCTACTTATTGGATTTATTGTTAAATTGTTCTCGTCCTGAACATGCATGACACATTTGCCACTAGACGTTTAGCAACAATAAATCATTTAGAAGTGTCCGTTTATAAATTTAAAAATTGTAAAGAGGCTAAGGTTTCAATTCCACCAGACAAGGTTTACCTTAGATGGATTTGGCTATTTTAGGTCCTTTTGGTCATATAGCATAAAATTATAAAGTGTGGTTTTCATTTTATATTAGATATTTTATTCAAATCGAATGTTATATTGAATTTTTCTGATTGTTTACTCCTTTTTCTTAGTTTTCTTGCTCCTATGTTTTTTCGTCAATGTAATATATACCAATCATAAAATATCATTGACTGTAAAAACAAAGGTAGCATGCAATGAAATTAAAAAAATTGAGTCCCTGTACTCGGTTCTCTAGACCGTTTTGAAACGAACCCATTAATTTCTTATATATCGTAATACTGCTAGGTTATGGTAAAATGTTTTCAGAACAGAAAGTTGTCATTAAATTGAAAAAAGTTTTAATTTTATCAACATTGTAATATTTTTTTAGTGAATTATTGGGAATATATAACATTGTCCTTCACTTAATTATAGTTATAAACTTAGAAAAAGTAAGTTTTTAAGGTCAAGAATTTCTTATTTCTTATTCACATTTTCTTAAAAAAAAAAACGGACCATTTGTTAGAAAACCTGGACGTTTTAACTGTTGCTCTCGAAAAAACACAGACAATGCAAAACACTGAATTTAAGGTAAAATACAACGAAATTGTGCGTCTTTTGTGCTCAAAACATGTATATTATTCAAAATAAGATGGACAGTCATGAATAAAACAATTATAGTTGCGAAATAGCAGGTAATTGACCTGATCGCATGTTTTATCACTCGAAAAAATCCGAACTACACTCGAAAAAAGTGGACCGATTCACCCGAAAAACACGATCTCCGCCAGACACTATAGCTACCGTGTACATGTGCACCCTATAAATAATTGCTTGCAGGTGAACCGTGCATTTTTACAGTAAATCTATAGTTGGTGTTTAAAAGCATATGGATAATTCTTTACGTTCATGTATCATTTTATTGACATGTTATAGTTGAGTGAACGGAAAACAATCCTGGGTCAAGGTGAATTATAAGGAAAAGCATCAAAATTTGACGTACCTTGTAAATGTGTGTGTTTGTGCATGCATGTTATTTTTACAGGAAAGGAAAATATGATAAGAAGTAATCTAATGGACTATTATGTGTTGTATTCTTTGAACGTAAGAATCGATGGTTATAAGCTACAGGTATAGATCAGTTTCATCAAGTTCTTATTCGCCAAGCTTAACTGAACGGGATTGTACTTGATTTTCATATAATGAAGACATATAATTTTTCAATCAGTTGAATTGAGGTCTGCATGGAGCTGGCATGTCAGTAACTACTCTACTTTTCTTTTTAACTGAGTTTTACTGTGCATATTTCTGTGTGTTTGTTTATTCTACGTTGGCTAGAGATGTAGGGGAGGGTTGAGATCTCACAAAACATGTCATGTTTATTTTTTTTTTAATTATTTGTTTGATTCTTACTTTCGTGAGAAAAAAATGTGTTTCAGGAGGCAAGCGAAAGAAAATATTTGGTTTGAAATAAAAATTAAGCCCTCCCCCTTTTTTTCCAAATCCGTTATTTTTTTGTTTTCTATTTATTTCAGGTTTATTTGCGTTTTTCTGTATTGTATGAACATAAATATACTACACATAACTTGTATTTGCCATTGACTACCAATTCCAAGTTTACTATCCACAGCGGTCACTGATATATTATAATATAAATTCACACACTGATATGAAAAAGATCTCACTGAGACTAAAAAACGTAAAAACACACTGAGAATTTAAAATTACACACTGAGATTTCAAAAATACACACTGAGATTAAATAAACTGACAAATTATACACTGCGGTTTGTGCGCACATTTTATGCTCACAAAGAATAATGATAAGATCCGAAATAAGGTAACTTTAAACTGTGAAGGAAAACTTATGTATATATGATGAATTGTTCTAAACCCCAACCCTTTTACATAAGTCTTATAAAATAACCTTCTCATAAATTCTGATGTACGTATAGCACCTTTAACTAACAATTATAAGAAAGTTTAATTTAAGACCACTTAATTTCTAAATTCTTATTTGTAAGTATATCCAGTTCTTACTTAACTTATTCTTACACCTCAGCACATTATGAATATTATTTTCAAAATTTTATGATGACAATCCTTATGAATTAGTTATAATATTAATTATTTAGTAATTATTATTGCCTAAATTCAGTCATCTGTACATAATTAAATGTTTCCTTATGTTTTAAGGTGACCGTGTATATAGTTGCTACAATTATACCCTATGGGTAGTGCTCCACAATTAATGGAGGAATATACAAGAAACTGTAACTGCTCACATATTTAATTGTAACGTGTAACGGGCGATCAATGGATCCGTATCTGAATAAATCAGGATTTCAAGTGTTCAACTCAAATTTGCACCACAACAAGTTGTCCTTTTTAAAACAATTAACACACCCTTAAATGAATTCACAATGTCAATTAAATACGCTATACAATGCACATAAATCAAATTACAAGGTGGAGTTCCTCATTCACAATGTATAAACACAATGTCTAATAACAGAATATATATACACAATGTCACTATGCAATCACTATGCAACATGTATTAGGCCTGATTATTCACAATGTCACTAATATATCACTATGCAACATGCATCAGACACTTTATTACACAATGTCATCAACAGATTACTATGCAACATGCATCAGATAAATATCACACAAAACGTATGAACACATTAGCACATATACAACATCTATTAACAATATCCACCAATTTGTAATATCACCTTATGAATGTTCAATTAACCACAATAACATAATGACACTTGCACAATGCTTCAATGCACAAGGAATTTATATGAACACAGCTCAACTCACAAACTAATTATCACTATGAATCAGAACGAAATGAATATATTCCAAACTAGTAAGATTAAACACAGTGCACTTTCACTTATACACTTCCACAATATAACAACTTGCAACACCAGCAAGTATATACACCTTATATTCTCACTAATACACTTCCACAATACAACAACTTGCAACACCAGCAAGCATACACCTTGTACTTTCACTGTACAATAACTTATTATATAAGTTCACTTTATAACACAATCACTATTCCAAATATTCACATATAAATCCAAACACTATATCCTTTGGAATCACTAAATTCACTCTACTTACCAGTTGGAATGTATAATCCTTGAAGTTTACCCTTCAATGGTCCACATAAAACTGACAGAGTTTCTCTGTCTTAGGCTGGTTTATATACTACCATCTGGATCAGTCCATTATACTTAAAGGGGTGAAAATCAAGACTATACCAACTTTAGGGGTGTTTTAAGTAACAGATGGTGCTCCAATTATGGAGAAACTTATATACATATAGAAACACAATAAATAGGAAAACAAAACTGGTATTTCACATCAAAATAAATGAACTATGACCGATTTCTGTTACATAATTATCATACTTAATCTGAATCTATTACAAGCTTTGGGACACACATTCATTAGAAAAAAGAAGCACGAAGAAAGCACAAGAATCATCAAGAAGCGAACAGTAGCGACAAGACAATTTAGCATCAAGAAGCGACAAGAAAACAAATTTAGCGTCAAGAAATCTAAACATTAATTATTTCAATAAAATGAATATAGAAACATTAAAGTTCTTATTTAGTATTTTCATAAACATTTAACAATAAAGATTAAAAGAACAGGAGTGGATCCAGGATTTTCTAAACGGGGATGTAATTGACGGTAATGTGAAATTGAGCGCCGAGCGGGGCGAGTCAAAAAAATATTTGGATGATATATTTTCCAATAAAAAGGGGATATACATGCCCTATTCTTCCAACCCACACCCTTAAATCTGACACTGAAGAATTCTCTTCAATCTTCTGTATCGTTGATCGACATACTCAGGAAAACGCGAGAGTTCGATCTAACATATCAATCAGAACAACGAGATGACGGGTACGAAAGTCACGCAATGTGTTCCGATTGATATTTTTATGTGACAACGAAGAGTTCAGGTGACCAAGATATTAATCTGTTGAATTATTCATGACATGAATATTCATTAGAAATGTGTATATAAATCTCAGTGTGTACTTTTGAAATCTAATTGTGTACTTTTGAAATCTCGTTGTGTACTTTATGATTATGATTATGATTATATTATCAAATTATATTCAGTTATTCAGGGAATCAACAATTTTGAATAAAAAAACATATATAAATTTGTATGTTAACTCTCTTAGCTAGGCATTTCGCGAATACATTTCATATATTTTGAGTTTTAAATGTATAAATTCTCTAAATTTGTCAGCAAACGGGATTGGACGCATATTCAATCAACCTATTACCACATGGATTATTAGTTTATAACCGACTTTCAACCTGAAAAACGGACCGTGCATATGCCTTTTCCCACTAGATTTTTGAAGGGAAAAATCGATTTAATGTCGTCTGTAATTTTAATTTTGAATGGTGTATTCGCCTGCCGACCTGGGTCTGATTAATAGAAGTTATCTCCTAGTGTCGAGTTACCGTTCGACTTTAATATCATTGCATTACACACGCCCAATTTACATGACCGCTTTCTTGAGTGACCAGAGTTTCAAATCGATCCTATAGTTTCCAAAAACATCTTTATTGTCAGATGAGAAAATGTAAGTCTATTTTATACAGTTTTAATTTCGTAATAAGAAAATACGCATATAATTCATGTAATTGGCAGTTGCATGAACACACACACACATTAAAAAAAAAAAACAAAAACAAAAACCACAAAAACCCTAGTCAATAAAATAAAATACGGCTTCAGTATCCAGGATTTATCTTTTCTAGCAAAAAGGAAATTACATCGACTTAACCTTTGATTTTGTGAAGCGAATATGTGAATTCTTTAACATTTCAATTAAACACTATAGATAAAAATAAGCAGATACAGTTGCAACCTCAGGATGACAGTTTTAAGTAATCAATAATTTTGCTAGTATTCAAAGTTTTTGCAGCTTGGTTTTTTTCCGAACAAATTGGCAAAAAATGAATAAATTGTTATAAGTTATAATATTAAAATGCTCAATGAATTGGTAATAGCTATAACTTGGAAATCTTTTTAAGTTGAATTGGGCAAAAGGTACCAGAAGATACACTTGTAAAAGTTTACGGATGACGGATGCCAAAATATGCAATTTATAGCCATATTTATGCCACGAGTCCATGAATCAGGAAGAAAACTAAAAACACATACGAAAGTCCATGCACGATTAATTCATTCCAGTGAGATTTTGTTGAGGCGCAGTAACGTATTGCAGCAGGAAAGTCTTCCACAAACAAAACCAATACATTTCTTCTACTTCTATGTATATATCCATGCCTTTTTGTATTATAAAGTCGAATACTTTCTTCCACACGACTTTTGAATGTTTGAAATATACGACATTTGTAGTTTTGGGCGCACCTTTTAACGTTGTATGTTATCTTGACAATTGAAAAAAGTTCCGAGTGAACATACGATATAAAGTTGTGAACATAGGTTTCAAAATTGTGTGCTAAATCTGTTGGATGTGTACCTATTGACATTTTAGTCAAAGAGAGCATGTTTTTTTTGGTTTTAAATCAAGTTTTCCAACTGAATTCCACAGTGTTTTCTGTTATGTTGTTAAATCACTGTCCCAGAATATGGGAGGATTTTGTGCTCATAAACATATTGAACCACGCTACATAAGCGTGTCTCAATTTCTCAAGCTCATATCTTCTAACTAGTCCGTGCATTATTAATTGTTTCTTTGTTTTTTTGTAATTTGAATATATGTTTTAGAATGTTAATTATATTATATCACATATGAGAATAGACCACTTTCGAGTTATGTCCTTCGTCGGAAAAGTTCGTCAATTTTGTGCGCCTTTGTGACGTCATTTACCAGATAGAGGGGATCGCCTGTATCCCTGCTCTATTAAAGTTCATCAAGCGTCTTTGTGGTCGTCATTATGCAGGATAAACTAAAAATAACATTTTTCCGTAAGTACTTAATCACAATTCCCTAATGATAGCAGTGCTGAATATCAATTATAAGAATTTAATTTGCCGAATAATTCGTGCAGTATAGCATTATCATTTTTTCAACCAATCA